ACAAGGGGCCCCGTTCTTTGCAAAACATGATTTTAGCTACAAAAAAAAACCCCATGACGGGGTTATCTCTTGCTTTATTCACTTTCACTACTTCGTTACCCCTCCCCCCCCCCGGTTATACTCATAAGTGGGGAAAGTGGATTTAGGTAAGAAACTCGACCCATCTGGCTTGGGCATCTCATTTGGGCCCCAAAACAAAATCAATTTCGCAGCAGAACATTGTGTAGACCGCGCTTTGGGGAAACAAATTATAAAGTTTTAGTTTTAACACGCTGGTACCTTGGGTCCCCAGCGGAGGAATCGCAAAAATTTACCCCCTATTTTCCTCGCCCCCAACTGTGTTAGAGCGCTGATACGGACTCAGGAACACACTTCATCATGTGGTGGGAAAATTGGCCCAGTGGCCCGAAAGAGTCTTTTGGGATGAAATTTTCACCATGATATTTTACACTTAGCCACTATCAACTCTACGACCCGAACCCAACAACAGCCCCCTACTCAACATCAGTGCCCCCCTGCCCCTGGCGGTCTCCAACTCGCCAAGTCAAGACTCCTTATGCAAGGTTACGACCGGCAGCCAGTCTACTAAGCAGATTATAGCGGGAAATCCTGGAAAATCCCCCACCCTAAATGTTGCAGCTGTCCCCAAAACCTAGGAATAACATCACAGCCATGATTACATGCAAAGGTGGGGAAGCCACAATTCTAGACAAAGATTCCTAAATGTCGTGCTCATTATGGAGCCCCTGGTATTTAGAGCCGGCTTCCTCCCGGCCTAACCTTTGATGAATTCCACTTCCCTTCTCCCTTGATATGTATCTACTGTGCGCCACCAAAAGGGATACTGTCCAATGTAGCCCTTCGCAGGGCACAACATTGTGGGAGTCTGCTGTTAAAACTTGGATGACATGCTCATGGAAGTCATCGTTGTGTGGTCCTCTTCCCCTTCCCTCCCCTTCTAACTCCCGTACTGACCACACAGCCATAACGTCCCCCTATGTGTGTCTGTTAAAGGCACTTGGGAGAGAGACGGTTACTCTGACTGGCTAGGGGACCAAGAATGTCATCTGATGTCAACTCTGATGTATCTTGTTTCCGCATAAGAAAAGCTATTGAACATTTGCTAATGTGATCCTCTATCCATTTGTTTTTCTCTACTGTCCGCTACTGCCATTTCAGTGTTTCCAATGTTACACTTCAATTACAGTGTCTCCTTGTTTGTTTCTTGTCATTTTGGTTTTTTGTTAAATACAAAATGTTAAGTTGAACAAGGGGGAAAACATTGGATTTCAGCTATGATTCCTTCACCCAACATGAGGTAAAGCTTTGGTTATATGTTCCATATCCAACTTTAAACCATAGGGGAAAGCTGCGGAAGACCATCGATAGGGCCTTGCCCGTGGGAAGGGGTTAACACTTCTCTTGGGACCTACAAGGCTTACCTAGCCCTTCACTAACCAGTATAGTGCAGATAACCTGCTTCCCAATTCAACCTCAGTCCTTCTCAGTTCTTTCTGCCTCAGATTATAAAAGGATGAAAACTAGCTGAACCCATCCAGTACCTCACCCAGGGGGGAGAGCGCTATCCCTTAAAAAACGGTACCAATGCCCTGCTTACCCAATATTTTGGAATCACTAACAAGGAAACACCCCCTATGCCCACTGGGACGCCCCCTACCCACTACAGGGATTACAGTGCTGAAAGAATAGGATGCATTCAGTTACCAGTTCTCCCACCTCTGGCATGGAGCATAAAGCGCGAGAGCTCCACCCAAAAGGGGAAGTTCTGCTTTAAGGACTGCTCCGTCGCTCCCCATTAAGGATTGGCATCTTTGGGGAGCGGGGGGGAGAGCGGGGGTACCCGAATTTGGGCAGCACAGTGGCTAAGTGGTTAGCACTTCAACCTGGCAGTACTAGGGTCGCGGTTCAAATCCCCAACCACGGGAAAACACCTGCCTGGAGTTTGCATGTTCTCCCTGTGCCTGCGTGGGTTTCTCCAGGTACTCCAGTTTCCTCCCACACTCCAAAGGACATGCTGGTAGGTTAATTGGCTCCTGTCTAAATTGGTCCTAGTATGTGTATGTATGAATGTGAGTTAGGGACCTTAGATTGTACGCCCCTTGAGGGTTAGGGACCAATGTAAATGTACAATATATATGTAAAGTGCTGCATAAAAATAAAAAATTGATGGCGCTATATAAGTACCTGAAATAAATAAATAAATAAATTTTGACAGGTACCCGCACCCACTTCCGGTCCGATCACCTAGGCGATCGGGAAGCGGGGAAGATGTCCTCCCTCCCTACCTGTAGTCTTTTTGGACACGTGACAGGTCCCAGAAGAATACAGGACCATTCATGAAGCGCAGAGCTACTCGCGCATGCGCAGTGGTACCCAGCTGTGAAGCAGCAAGCTATCACAGCCGGGTGCCCACACTGAAGATGCTGGCTTCCTGGAATACAGGACAGCCGGTGAAACGAGCTGCGGGGGACACACCATGGGACTGTCAGGAATGGACTGGCCAGCAATGGTGGGACTCACCTGCCTTTTGATCTGCGTAGTACCAGGGCTGGCCAGCGGGTGCTCCCAGCAATCAGAGACTCAACTTTGCAGCCAGCTAACACCTGGAACTGATTTATGCTGGGGTGTATTTAAGGGATGGCCAGACCCACAGACTCTGCCTTGGTGTGTGTTTGTCCTGGGCCCTGTATCTGTCCTGCATCCTGTTTCTGTTCCTTTGCTGACCCTCTGTACTACGCTGCTTGCTACCTGTCCTGATCCCCTGGCTTGTGACCCCTGACCATCCCTCTGCCTGACCCTCTGTACTACGCTGCTTGCTACCTGTTCTGATCCCTGGCTTGTGACCCTGACCATTCTCCGCTTGCTCCCCCTGTACCTACCTGCCCAATTGATATTGACCCGGCCTGCCCTGACGACGCTTGCTTGTTACTGTACTGTTATCTGTGGGTGGTTGGTTTGGGTTTGTTTGCACTGTATTATGTTTAGTATTGCACTGCGTTTATGTTTGTATTGTTAGTGTTAATAATTATATTGTTTATCCCATATCTGAAGTCTGCGTTTTCCCCTGCGTCAGTCACACATCTCTGGTCATACCTGGGAGCCCTGACATTACACCAAGGCCAATCCTGACCAGAAAGTGGCTGCACAGGGAAGCCATCTTGGTTTGTTGATGGGAAGGATGGATCTGGATGAGGTTGAGTATTTATCTCTGCTTTACTAGTGTTTGATGACGGGAGTATGCTTATCAAACTCTGAAGGAGTATACCCGGGATGAACTGCTAGAATGTATACGGCTCGCTCATGTTCTAGTAGATCAGGGCACAGAGTTCTCTGAGGTGCAGCCTTTGATTGAGGTTTGTGCAGAGTTGGTTTCATCTGGTTCCCCCGAATGCAGGGATGAATTTTTGCCACCATTTAGTGCAGACCAGGTAGAGTCCCTGGTGTGGTTATTAGAGGATGATGTGGGTTACTTTCTGGAGCGTTATTCCACATGTTCACCACAGACACTAAGAGTTTGTATAAACGCAGTGCAGTCATTGACCAGACAGACTTTGTGTAAGCTCAGCTTTGTTCAACCCCCCTACTGCAGACATGGACAGACTTGTTACACCCAGCCTCAGTCAGCTTACAAAAACCCAGTCCTGCTTCTAACTCTACTCCTGTATTCCCAACAGCTCCTCCAGTTCAGCCCAGTATACTTGGCTATCTACCGCATGTCAGTACCCTGTTCCCACTCGCTGCACCTATCCTGCCTTTAACCCTGTAAAAAAGCCCTCTGTAGCAACTGCTCCCTCTCCTGTTCCATCCTCCAGTTCTTCTCTGTCTCCAGCTGCTCCATTCGTTTGCAGACCTGCGTTTACTTGCAGTGCTCCAGTAGTTAAAACCAGAAAAAAGCGAAAATTCTTTCCAACCAATACCATCCTGCCAGTATCCAAACTGGTGAACCTGCCTTCCGTGGTTCAGCCTGAAGCCTCTACTCGGCCTGAATCCTCTACTCGGCCTGATGCCCTCTACTCGGCCTGAAGCCTCTACTCAGCGGACGCCGGCATTCAGCCTGATGCCTCTACCCAGCATGATGAACTGATCCAGCCTGATGATCCTATTAGGCCAGTTGACTCGATGCCCGCTGTTGATCCAGATGAATCCGGTTCATCCCGTCCTGATCCGGTGCTCGCTGTCGTGCCAATTGACTCAGAGCCCGCTGTCGTACCTGGTGACTCGGTGCCCCCACTGCCTTGCCCAGATGACGCGGTGCCCGCTGGCGTGCCAAATGACCTGATGCCTGGTGACCAGTGCCCGCTGTCATACCTGGTGACCCGATGCCCGCTGTCGAGCCAGACGATCCAATGCCTGGTGACCCGGTGCCCACTGCCTTGCCAGATGACGCGGTGCCCGCTGGCAAGCCAAATGACCTGATGCCTGGTGACCCAGTGCCTGCTGTCGAGCCAGACAATCCGGTACCTGATGACCCGGTGCCCACTGTCGTGCCTGTTGATTCGGAGCCCACTGCCTTGCCAGATGACGCTGTGCCCGCTGTTGAGCCAAATGACCTGATGCCTGGTGACCCGATGCCCGCTGTCCAGTCAGACGATCCAATGTCTGACCCAGTGCCCGCGGTCATACCAGTTGACTCGGAGCCCACTGCCTTGCCAGATGACGCGGTGCCCGCTGTTGAGCCAAATGACCTGATGCCTGGTGACCCGATGCCCGCTGTCCAGTCAGACGATTCAATGTCTGACCCAGTGCCCGCGGTCATAGCAGTTGACTCGGAGCCCACTGCCTTGCCAGATGATGCGGTGCCCGCGCGGTCGAGCCAAATGACCTGATGCCGGGTGACCCGATGCCCGCTGTCCAGCCAGACGATCCAATGTCTGACCCAGTGCCAGCGGTCATGCCAGTTGACTCGGAGCCCACTGTCGTGCCAGATGACTCGGCGCCCGCCGCTCTGCCTGAGGGCCCGAGACCTGTCGCTCCACCTGGGGGTCCGGCGCCTGCCGCTCCGCCTGGGGGCCCGAGACCTGTTGCTCCACCTGGGGATCCGGCGCCCGCCGCTCCGCCTGAGGGCCCGAGACCTGTCGCTCCACCTGGGGGTCCGGCGCCCGCCGCTCCGCCTGAGGGCCCGAGACCTGTCGCTCCACCTGGGGGTCCGGCGCCCGCCGCTCCGCCTGAGGGCCCGAGACCTGTCGCTCCACCTGGGGGTCCGGCGCCCGCCGCTCCGCCTGAGGGCCCGAGACCTGTCGCTCCACCTGGGGGTCCGGCGCCCGCCGCTCCGCCTGAGGGCCCAAGACCTGTCGCTCCATCTGGGGGTCCGGCGCCCGCCGCTCCGCCTGAGGGCCCGAGACCTGTCGCTCCACCTGGGGGTCCGGCGCCCGCCGCTCCGCCTGAGGGCCCGAGACCTGTCGCTCCGCCTGGGGGCCCGAGACCTGTCGCTCCACCTGGGGGTCCGGCACCCGCCGCTCCGCCTAAGGGCCCGAGACCTGTCGCTCCACCTGGGGGTCCGGCACCCGCCGCGCTCCGCCTGAGGCCCCGAGACCTGTCGCACCACCTGGGGGCCCGATGCCTGTCGCTCCGCCTGAGGGCCCGAGACCTGTCGCTCCGCCTGGGGGTCCGGCGCCCGCCGCTCCGCCTGAGGGCCCGAGACCTGTAGCTCCACCTGGGGGTCCGGCGCCCGCCGATCCGCCTGAGGGCCCGAGACCTGTTGCACCACCTGGGGGCCCGATGCCTGTCGCTCCGCCTGAGGGCCCGAGACCTGTCGCTCCATCTGGGGGTCCGGCGCCCGCCGCTCCGCCTGGGGGCCCGAGACCTGTCGCTCCGCCTGGGGGCCCGAGACCTGTAGCTCCACCTGGGGGTCCGGCGCCCGCCGATCCGCCTGAGGGCCCGAGACCTGTCGCACCACCTGGGGGCCCGATGCCTGTCGCTCCGCCTGAGGGCCCGAGACCTGTCGCTCCATCTGGGGGTCCGGCGCCCGCCGCTCCGCCTGGGGGCCCGAGACCTGTCGCTCCGCCTGGGGGCCCGAGACCTGTCGCTCCACCTGGGGGTCCGGCGCCCGCCGCTCCGCCTGAGGGCCCGAGACCTGTCGCTCCGCCTGGGGGCCCGAGACCTGTCACTCCACCTGGGGATCCGGCGCCCGCCGCTCCGCCTGAGGGCCCAAGACCTGTCGCTCCACCTGGGGGTCCGGCGCCCGCCGCTCCGCCTGAGGGCCCGAGACCTGTTGCTCCACCTGGGGGTCCGGCGCCCGCCGCTCCGCCTGAGGGCCCGAGACCTGTCGCTCCATCTGGGGGTCCGGCGCCCGCCGCTCTCCGCCTGAGGGCCCGAGACCTGTCGCTCCACCTGGGGGTCCGGCGCCCGCCGCTCCGCCTGAGGGCCCGAGACCTGTCGCTCCGCCTGGGGGCCCGAGACCTGTCGCTCCACCTGGGGGTCCGGCACCCGCCGCTCCGCCTGAGGGCCCGAGACCTGTCGCTCCACCTGGGGGTCCGGCACCCGCCGCTCCGCCTGAGGCCCCGAGACCTGTCGCACCACCTGGGGGCCCGAGACCTGTCGCTCCACCTGGGGGTCCGGCACCCGCCGCTCCGCCTGAGGGCCCGAGACCTGTCGCTCCACCTGGGGGTCCGGCACCCGCCGCTCCGCCTGAGGCCCCGAGACCTGTCGCACCACCTGGGGGCCCGATGCCTGTCGCCCCGCCTGGGGGCCCGATGCCTGTCGCCCCGCCTGGGGGCCCGATGCCCGTCGCCCCTCCTGGGGGCCCCGCGCCCGCCGCCCATCCTGGGAGCCCGGCGCCCGCCGCCCCGCCTGGGGGCCCGGCGCCCGCCGCCCCGCCTGGGGGCCCGGCGCCGGTCGCCCCGCCTGTGCCTCTGCCCGGAGTCCAGCCCGATGTGCCTCTGCCCGGAGTCCAGCCCGATGTGCCTCTGCCCGGAGTCCTGCCCGATGTGCCTCTGCCCGGAGTCCTGCCCGATGTGCCTCTGCCCGGAGTCCTGCCCGATGTGCCTCTGCCCGGAGTCCTGCCCGATGTGCCTCTGCCCGGAGTCCTGCCCGATGTGCCTCTGCCCGGAGTCCTGCCCGATGTGCCTCTGCCCGGAGTCCTGCCCGATGTGCCTCTGCCCGGAGTCCTGCCCCGATGTGCCTCTGCCCGGAGTCCAGCCCGATGTGCCTCTGCCCGGAGTCCAGCCCGATGTGCCTCTGCCCGATGTGCCTCTGCCGGTGTGCCTCTGCCCGATGTGCCTCTGCCCGGAGTCCAGCCCAATGTGCCTCTGCCCGGTGTCCAGCCCGATGTGCCTCTGCCTGGTGTACCGCTGCCCGGAGTCCTGCTAGGTGTGCCAGTCTTTGATATCCCGCCAGTTACCAGACCCGGGCGGTGGAACATTTTTCCCAGCTAGGACTGTTTGGAGCGTCCTGAGGCCGCTCCTTGAGGGGGGGGTACTGTCAGGAATGGACTGGCCAGCAATGGTGGGACTCACCTGCCTTTTGATCTGCAGTACCAGGGCTGGCCAGCGGGTGCTCCCAGCAATCAGAGACTCAACTTTGCAGCCAGCTAACACCTGGAACTGATGATGCTGCTGGGGTATTTAAGGGATGGCCAGACCCACAGACTCTGCCTTGGTGTGTGTTTGTCCTGGGCCCTGTATCTGTCCTGCATCCTGTTTCTGTTCCTTTGCTGACCCTCTGTACTACGCTGCTTGCTACCTGTCCTGATCCCTGGCTTGTGACCCTGACCATCCCTCTGCCTGACCCTCTGTACTACGCTGCTTGCTACCTGTTCTGATCCCTGGCTTGTGACCCCGACCATTCTCCGCTTGCTCCCCCTGTACCTACCTGCCCAATTGATATTGACCCGGCCTGCCTGACGACGCTTGCTTGTATGTACTGTTATCTGTGGGTGGTTGGTTTGGTTTGTTTGCACTGTATTATGTTTAGTATTGCACTGCGTTTATGTTTGTATTGTTAGTGTTAATAAATTATATTGTTTATCCCATATCTGAAGTCTGCGTTTCCCTGCGTCAGTCACACATCTCTGGTCATACCTGGGAGCCCTGACAGGGACCGAGGGACAGGTAAGTGGCTGTTTTTTAAAAGTCAGCAGCTACAGTTTTTGTAGCTGCTGACTTTCATTTTTTGACAGGGTTAGTGGAACTCCGCTTTAAGTAATGTTGCCTTCTTCTCGAAGCTCCAGACTGTGGGCAGTCCCCAGCATTATCACCTAAAATGGAGGGCTATAACCCTGCATAAGTGGAGGGGGCACGCCTGTAACAGCAGCCAAAAGTGTCTTAAAGACACTTGCACAGATTGAGGGAGCCTGCTGGAGTGAGGAGCGAGTAAGTATTACAGCTGCTTCTGCAAGCCCCCAGACCTAATCAGCATTAATGGGGGTTTCTGCAAGGGTTTAGTTGAGCTCAGAGTTGGACTTTAAAGTGAAATTCCAGGCTATTGCCTAACTATGCTTAAAGTTGCACCCATCCCCTTCTAAATCCTATTCTAACTACCCTGTGAAAGGTAGATGCTTATACTTACCTATTCTAAGGATGCTCCAGTTCGGACAGCAGTGGCTTCAGGGGAGAGGAGGGACAGCTGACAATGGATGCCCTATAGTAAGCTTATGGGTAATGTCACTGCCCAGGTATTCCAGCTGTTGTCGGCAAGCTCTCCTCAACCTAGCTGCTGGGGAGATCACGTAACCAGCCGCACCCTGAGAATAGATATATAGAAGTATAATCTTCCTTGTACAGGGTAGTTAGAATAGGAGTTAGAAAAGAAGGGGGGTGGGAGCAGGTTTAAGCACATGTAGTACCCTCCTAGATAGGTTGCTAGAAAGGCTCAGGTAAATGTGTCCTCTGTAATCACTGGAGTGGCGTGTGAATATTTTTGTCTGTTCTGGGTTTCACTGGCTGCAGACTCAACTGTACCCCCCTGCCTGCTGGTGGATTCTAGTATGTAGTACGTTGGAAGAGGCAGACCCTTGGCCTGAATATTTATATGGTCTTGGCCAGTCCCTGGGGGCAGCAGTAGGTGGCTGAGGAGCTAAGGAGTGTATAAATAGTCTGGAGCAGCAGCATGCAGAAGGAGAAGTCCCCAGCCTGAAGGGCTGCTAGATATCGTATGTACTCTCCAGCGCCTCAGGATATGCACAGCCAAAAGGGGAGCCAAGGGTGCCAGGACAGCGACAACCAAAGGAAATGCTTCAGGGGTGCAGCCCTCCTCAGACGGGGAAATCAGCCACTGGATAGAGAGAAAACAGGTGGCGCACACACCTAGTGCATTATCCAAGGTTTATTGTAGGAGTGAAAGAATAATCAAAACATACTCACAGACGAAGCATGTATCTAAAAAGCATAGAAAAATGACAATGGCCACAAAGGCAGGCAAGGTGTTCTCACTGTCAGTGCGGTCAAATGGCTGACGCGTTTCAGGGACGAATCCCTTTCCTCAGAGCTGATGACCAACCTTTGATGCAGATGTATGATGAATGGAAAGTAGGAGCCTTGCTGTTGATGACTGCTTTTTAGATACATGCTTCATCTGTGAGTATGTTTTTATTATTCTTTCATTCCTACAATAAACCTTGGATAATGCACTAGATGTGTGCGCCACCTGTTTTCTCTCTATGAAGGGCTGCTACCCTTCTTGGCAGTGTAGCTGAAGTCAACACCAGTTCATCGAGGTCCCAGCTCAGTGGAAGCTAGAGGGACTCTTTTCTGAGAATAGCTGGAATCATGCCAAGGGGTTTCACTGAGGGTCTGGTGTGGAATTCATGAGAGAGGTGTCTGGCTGATATTGGATGGAGGCACCCAAGTATTGTGGGAAATTGTGAGTAGAGGCCTGAGTGTATCATCCTAGTGACTGTTCGCTCGTACTATCTCTTTGATCATTAGTTCCCAAGCTTGCTTTGCACAGGACATTCCCCGTTTGGGGTCCCAGTGTTGCTCACTCCCCTAATGTCTACTAAAGGGTACTATCCTAAGAAGCTTAGACACAGAGAAAGTGTCCGTTGTTTACTGCACTGGAGTGTTCTAAAGTATTCCACAGCTGCTTCCTGCACCCCAACCAAGCTCAAATTGCAATAAAGCATCAAAAGACACCCCAGGACTGACAACTGAGCTGTGAGATTGTCCGTGCTGCTGGCTGCTTGGCTGTTCTACACCAAATTGGAAAGAGAACCTGGTGCAAACTAGCAGGCCCATCAGTGGCATAGTGCTACACCTAGGTAGGTAATAACCTGGAATTCCACTTTAAGGACTGGAACAGTGAGGAAAGATCTAAAAGGGACATATCTTCTACTGACAATTTTGTTTCACTTCCTAATGTGTCTCTGGAACATAATTGAAGATAAATCTCCCCAATTCAAAAAAAAGAAAACCAACATGGGTTTGAATGATTGCCTACCCTGTCCAAAGCTAAAAAAAGATTTGCGCTATACATGTGATACATTTTTAAAGCTGCATAAAATAACTCAAAACTGTCAACAGCATTCACATAAAAACAAAGTCCATACCCAAACCAATCTTTTAGAGAACTGGCTATATTTAGTGTGCTTTACAGCATCTGCAAGCTAGTTAAAATCCCATTGTTCTCTAAAAGCAATCTGAAAAAAGCCATTATCACTCTGCAAGGCATATTAATTTTAGTAGACAGAGGGACCAACAAGCCTTCTTTGATCAGCCATCATGGACTCACAGAGAGCAAGAACAATTTTTCGGATGCAAGTCTTCCGTTTGATCCATAAACTGTGCAGCATCTTCAGCTGTCATTAGAAGAAGAGAAAAAAAAAAGAAAAAAAAACCTAATCAGACTGCAGTAATATTCCGTGCTGAGAAGAATAATGGACATTCTGTAGCCTCGTGCTCCATTTGTCGATCAGTGAATTGGTTTATTAACCACATTCTCTCAGTTCTTCGTTGCTGTACCCGATGACCCCAAGCAGCCTTGCCTAATCTCTTCAAGAAAACAGGGATCAATGATATTTACATCTATAAATTGCCACCCTGCCCATAAAAGCAGGTAGCATACAAAGTGGAGGGCCAGGAATGAATATGTCACATATCTCCCAAGGGGATTTCTCGGATCTCCGCACACGATGCAAAAGAGTTTGCTAAAAATCATTACGGGATATGACAAAATAATGTAAAAAGGAGACTGTCCCTGGTCTGGTATGACAAGTGATTTATTAGGGAGGAAATAGCCGGAAGCTTTATTTACAAGCCGCAAAAAAAAAATGTGATCTGTAGAGTATTACATTTACACAATCAGGCCTGTTTGACAGATGGGCATATGGGTAGGTGCATAAATATAATTGTCATTACAATTTAATGTACAGTCAGTGCAAGGATCCATGTCACCTTTAAAAGAAACAATGTTTTCACCTTTTGTTTTTCAAAATCAATAAGCTAAGTATTGACAGTTTTTATATGTACAAGATATGTGGAGGTTCAGGTGATATCTCAGCAGACACGCCACTTCTGTTCTTGATCAACACTCCTCTTTCAGTTTAAATGACCACCAGCAACATTACGCCAGTCTGGGCTTAGAGTATTAATTCACACTTACATATTATTACTTCAGCGATGTGCTGAGCATCAGTAAGGGCTGTTTGCTGCCACCAGGGGTGGACTGACAACTCATGGAGCCCCCGGGCAATAGGGGACCATGGGGCCCCTGTGTCCTTGCCCACACTCAAACCACACCCAAAAAAGCCTATGAAAATGGTACCAGGGGCATCTCATGGGGTCCCCTTC